TGCAATTGCTTAAGTTTTATATTATATTCGGCAATATTAAGGTCCATAATTAATTGAAGGAATTTATCGCTTGATATGTCAGGTTCATATAAATGTTGTAACTTTATCATGTTTGGATATTCTTCGCATTTTTCAAATATAGTTAAAAATTCGAGCAATGCCTTGAAAAAGTTAACTTCCTTGGTTATAGTGTTACTGTGTGCCATTGATAGCTTCAGGCATTTCTCTTTAAAACGTCTCATCAAGGTTCCTTTTTTGTGTTGTTCAATAAGATCTTTATGTTCCATTAGAAGCTGGTAATAATTCAACTCATTAAACGGTGACAGGATTTCAACAAAATGTTTGATGTTATTCAAAGCAATAAGGTTCTCTATTAAATGGCCGTCAGCTGGATGTTCATTTAAAAAACTATCGATCTCCTCCACCCAGTACTCCAAACAGTACTCGACATATTTATTCTTTATGTAAGCACGATCGATAATATTCAGTTGGACTTTATGTTCATTCTCAATGATATCCTCTATTAGCTTCAAGCAATATCCATATTCCCTTAGATTTGTTCGTATTAGACCTGATATATCTGTTACCTTCATTGTGACTTCTTTTGTAATCTTGCTACATGTATAATATCTTGATACGTAAATTTTAATTTCTAAAAACTATCTTTAGTAATAATTTTGTCTGATAAAGCGTGATATTTGGATATCTTATGTCTCTAAATTGCTAGATATTGAACTTGGCAATATGTAGAAGAAAGAAAAATGAAACATTCATTAACATATTTTCGTATACATTATGAATGATAGAATATCATTTTCGTTAAAGAAAATTTCTATAAGAGAAAGTCGGGACATTGTCGAATGCAGGTTGAGTAGATTGGACGATTACCTACTGCTTTTTTATCACTTATTCAGAGATATCAGATAACATTTGCTGACGCATCCATTGAAATTGTGGAGAATGGAGTACCAATACTTCTTCCTGCATTACTTGGCAACGCCTTATCTGTTCCTACGAAACCACATACATATTTTTCAACCATAATACATACTACTAACACTTACATTATCGTTTATATTCCACGAAATAAGCTACTACAAGTAAAGAGCAGACCGATGGCATTTCCGGCATCTGATATGCGATTAATTCCTTTGTATGAGACGTTACGTACGCCACGAATTTACGAGTCATAGTCGAAGTCAATTATTGTATTAATGGTTGAATATGTTAATGTGTTTGATATTTCATAGTGTGAAAATGATGCCAAATATCATATTCGCGGACCCATGTAATCGATTTCAATTAATCAAATTTATTCCTAGGAATAAGAAGTGCGGAGATAACATTTTTAAGTTAAATCGTGCGAACACGACAGAAATTATTTGTATTTTATATTTGACCCTTTGCACTCAGACGTCCCCTCTGAGGGGACATCGTAAGTCTAGCAAATCACTCGGCTGTCCCCTTTCAGGGGACATAAAGACTTTATTATTAATTATACATGATAAACTTATACGAGCGCAAATTTTTTAAAAATGCATGTTTTCTTGAAGTTTTCACTCAAATATCACGAAAAATCAAATCAAAATATGACATATATCCTGAGATATATGTAAACAAATATCAGCCGGTGTTATGAAGAAACAGAACGTGTAAAGTGCAATTACAGTGGTTTCACCACTTCTCTAATGTTAACACGTAAAGAAAGCGAGTATTTGTGTAAGAAAGACAAGTGTGTGAGTACATTTCGTACAATATATATCAAGGAATCTGCAATTGAAAATTGGTGACTGCTTCAGATGTTTCCACACATTAGAAAAATATAAGATATAAAATTTTGATTTGTTTGTCATAAACATGTTCAATATCTAAAGATTCATATAAACCAAATATCATTATAATAAATTACTTGGTCTCAAAACTACACTATTTAATGTGATGCAATTCCTGTTTGTACATTTTCCTACGAAGGTGCCACCCAGCTATTGATAATGCGCGAGATGGCTCCCAGTGCAAAGGGTTAAATATGTTCGGTAAATCGAAAGATCACACATCACAGACCACTTGCAGTATAATTTAACTTAAACTTAATTTAATTTAATTAAACTTCCTGCATTTAAATGTTAAATACTGACATATGCTTCCACGATATTAACGACATATTAATGACACATCGATGTGTACTCGATATCATAATCATTATGTCATATATATGTAAGCTAGCATTTAATTTAACTACTAATTTATTTAAGGTAATGCATTAATATTTGATATGTCACATATAATGTTTTTTTATGATAACACTGTTTTATGAGAATTTTACAAGCAGAACGTCAACAACATCACGATCAAAGAGTTTTCTTCGAAATATCAAGAATATATGGTTTCTCATAAGAGATAAAATATTTATCGAACATTAAGGATTTGATATTTAGAATATGACATAGAAGAATATATTTATATGGATATAAAGAACAAAATTCTTGCACAATATCTATCGTTTCTTGGGAATATAGAAAGAAAATTCTTTATAAGATCAGTTATTAGTCCTTATAAGTATCAAAGATTTGATATCCCGTAAGGAATAAAATTCTCATAGAGAAAATAAATCTATCTATCAAATTCAGAAGAACCTAATATTTTATATGAAAGAACAAATTTTATATATGCACATTAATATAAATCGGTACTTTGGAATTGGGCTTTTCTAAAATTTTAAAGACTCGCTATCTTGTTTAAATTTACACAAAAACATCAAAAATTACACAAAAATAAACCTAATAAAACTAATAAACCTAAAAAAACTAATAAAACCTTACCTAATATTATGTGCAGTATTAGTCTTAATATTTTGTTCAGTTTTCTAAGCTTAATTATGTTTATTGAAGATAATAGAATTCAGTCCAGGCTTCGAGAATTAGTCACACTCAGTCTGTGGTCAACTAAGCGGAGCGAACACTGGCTTCTGATTTTAAATCTTGCTGTTTAGCCTTGGATATTTCCTGACATCTAGTCAGCAGCGGCGCCAAGGGTGGGCTTAGATGGATCCTGGCCCACCTAAAAATACGCTGGCCCACCCTTTAGCCGACCCTAAAATTTTAGAAAATTTTTTGCATAATTATGCTGCCCTATTCTATCCAAGTTTTAAACTTTTTTACATGGAATTATTTTTATAATTAAAACTCTACAATTAGTTTTAAATTCTATCTTTATAGTTAATTTCTCCCAGAGACAAAAATTAAATACATAATATATAATAAATATGGCCCACCCATCTAAACGTCGGCTCATCCACATGAATATTTCTGGCGCCGCCTATGCATCTAGTGGTCCATCCATGGTATCACCAAAGTCTATATATAATATATATATAAATATATATATATATATATATATAAATAGAAGAACGGGACAAAGTTAGGTGCTCTCACGACCGCCATTTTGGAGCCAAAGAATCTGTATTGATATACGTGATACTATATACGTGTAATATTATGATTTAGTTGAGTTAATAAACAGAATAATCAAAACATAGTTCAAGATGTAATCAGAAATAATCAAAATATAGTTTAAACATATTCCAAAATACCAGCGAAAATTTTCAGAAGAAAAACAATTACAATGCCGACTATAGCACAAAAAATTGCAAAAAAACGAAAATAATTTTTGATCTGATGGTATATGGTTAATCAGCTGAACCACGGTCGCCACCATTTTCGAACCAAACCGTGTGAAGTGGATGAGAGGACCTAACTTTGTTCTGTTCCTCTATTTACGGACCTTGGTATCACTAACGATAAATTATTCCTCTTTTATTCGTACGAATTTCAAGTGGATCGCGTTCAATTAAATCTAATTATAAGATACTAAAATGTTTAGTTTAATCTTTTGCTACTAATAGTGACTATAGTCATCCAACGTTTGATGCTCACGGGATACTAACAGTGACTATGGTCACCTAGCATTTGACGCTATCTATTATATGATATATATCTATTATATGAAACATATATGAAAAATTAATAATTTATATTACTAAGAATTTATATTTAACGTTACTAGACGTTAAAAGTTTATCCCTACAGTGAAATTTAAATACGTCTTCGTTGGGATTGTCCCGTATCGTGGTAGCGCATTCGCGAGCAAGGCCGCCGTACAGTGGGGCGAAAGCCCCAAAAACCAGACATTATCTGAATATGCATAACAAATATATTTAAAATAATAGAATTCATGCAATCGAGATTGAATACTTCAAGCTACCAAAAAGTTTACGGCCCGAAACGGTCCGAAATGTGCGATACAGCAATCGATAGCTAAAAGTGTCTAGTTTTCAAAAATCCCCCATAGTTCGTCCGTCTGGATACATTTTACATGAGAAAATTGCGTTGAAAATTATAATGACACGGTAAAGTCATATAAGTTGTATCATATTGAGATGAAGCAAAGCTTTAATTACAGGGTTGGACATTTCTTGTAACAACCAAAAACCTAAAAGTGAATTATAAAAAATGTTTTAAAAAATGATGGGTGTTGAAAATGGACTTCGATTAATGGGAAAAAAATTGTCTCATAACTGTTATATTGCTCAGAGCATCTCAATTCTCTGGTATCAAAATGTATGAAGTTTTAAATCTATTCCTAATAAATCCATAATTTACAATGGATATGTATCCCTAAAATGTGAGAGGTAAGTGGACGAGTGGTTTGGAAAGGAAAGATATTCTTATTTTTAAGAAAACCGATGGATTAATATTCCTTCTTAAAGATTATTTATTTTGAGAATGACAGCTTTGCAATTTGTTAACGCGCATTTCTTTTCGTAATATATTAAGCGTCACATGGCGAAGGTGATGTCTTATGTTAGGGAAATTGTATTCTTGGAGGTCAGAGGATTCAACTAATTTACCTCGAGACAAACGAATTGTGTGAAGTGTTTGTGCATCTAAATATGTGTTGAAAAAGGAATAGAGAAAATAAAATAAGACGATTTAAATCTCCGCAAGAAAGCCTTTTTATATTGTTTAATAGGTTGAATAACAATGTAGTATAACATGTATCTAAAAATCTAGTAAAAAATAACGTTGTGTGAACCTTAAACCTTTCTTACTGGCTAAATACAGGCGTAATTTTCGCGGCGATTTTCATATTCTTATAATGCATTATCACATTAAATCTACATTTTTACGTACTAGAATCTTAGCTTAAGCAGCCAAAGGAGTCAATCATTTGAAATTGCCCGTAATGACCCGAGACGTGCAATATCTATACATAACTCCATTGATTACAACGCCGTCGGTAATGCTAAATAGTGTAGTAAAACGTTGTAATATGGACTTATATACACCTTGTATGTATCGATTAAGATTATTGATAATATTCAAGAGAATATTAAAATTAATCTCACTATTGCATCACACATTGAAATTATATCAAGATATAATCAAATATTAAAATGACAAGAAAATGATCGATCATGGTGGAAAAATGAGTTTTCTTCGATACTTTGCGGTCATTTTGACGTCACCATGATTTTCTGATCTGCCTGGGAAGTACCCTAACATAATATCCCTTGATTCCATTTAAAAATAATTTCCGATTGAAACAGCTCTTTTCTCTAATTAAATAAATTAAGATACTTAATAAAATGTTGTTACAAATTTTTTACCTCTCATACTTGAATGGTCGAAATTCTGTGTATCGTATCGCGCGAGAACCTTCTCGTAATCTGACGGTCCCGCGAACATCTTCAAGATAGAAACTTGCTGATCGTCGGGGATCGTTTCTCCAGCATGTAAACTTGTCACATCAATATTATTACTGTTTCGATGTGGGAGGAAGTCGTTGCCCTCTTTATTTATCAATATATGTCCACGTGCTTTCAACGGCAAATCGCCGCATCCTGTTACACTATAGCCGACATGAGGAACCTTTGGCCCATGTTTCACTACACTAATGCAAGGATTGTCGATATTAATCTCCAACTTGATTGTTTCCATTTGTTTCTCCGTCCCGGGTACGAGCACTTCTAACTCAGCTTCCATTTGAACCGGAAAGAAACCTATCTCACCCTCATACGGGGCATCAACATATATCGTGTCGTATAGGGTGGATTTGAAATCCTCCAGTCTAAGATTAATAGGTCTCCTTTTCGCGTCCTTGTATTTTCCGACATAATCACAGCACTTTTGAAATGCTGCATTCAGAGCTTTCGTACGTTGCTCCTGTAACTCTTTGTTGCTCAATATTTTATTTACAGTGAGATCCACATCGTAGTTACTGTTCTGTGTCCAATCCTTCGTGTCTTCTTTGTCTTGCGCCATGGATCTCTCTCTTGAGACACTTCGGCTCCTGGCTTTCTTACCGCCGATCAGTCCGACTCCTATCCTGTATTGATGCCATCCATATGACAAGCGATCTCGTATACCGGGGCTAGTTTCGATTTCCTTCGCTACCTCTTCCCTAAACATATCCGCTGACATGCTGTCTAGGCCAGGTATGTATTGGCAAAGCGTCTCATATAGACAATTGTTAGTACCGCCGCTCGCGCCGCTGTTCGAGCTGTCATCCTGACTAACCTGAAAATGACCATCTTTCAAGAAGATCCTAATCTCTATGCCTTGCTCACCATCCGACATCGTCGAGATCCTCTCCGACAGGCCGGATGCCTCATCCACGATAAGGGTCAGTCCTTCGACATTAAACCCGTGATTCTCCAGCATACGCTGAAGAACTGGGAGACATGCGGCCACGCAAGTTGTATCCATGGGCACGTTCTCACGCACAATGTCTGCGAACAGCTTGGGATTGCGGGTCTTTATCAGCAAGTTTTGCAGATTGTTGTGGTATTCCTTTTCAACTTGCTTGCGCTCCTCTTCAGGCATATTGAGCTCCTGCATTTTTTCTTCATATTCCTTCTTGTACTGCTGGAACTCGTCGGTGTACTTGCGCTCCTTATAATCGCTATACATCGATTGTATCTGGCTGCCAGCATAGCTTACTATCATCGTCGCGACAGTATGCATGATAGGCCTGACGATCTCTTCATCAATCACCTGGCCGGCTCGCGCACGCAGTGACGTCTTCCACATTGCTATAACATCGTGCCTAAATCTGTCCCTATCCGTGACATCGTCGACCATCGCGTCCTGTCGGTTTTGTCGGGTACTCGTGTTCATCTCATTTAGCTCGCTAATCTTCGTTTGCACACGTTCGTTTAACTCGTTCAGCATATTGCCCGTCACATTCCTCAAATCGTGAAGAACAGTCGTTTTCTTCAAGATCGTGCTCGCCGGACCCATCAGTTTCAGCAGCGTCTTCACCTTAAACGAGCCGACGAACGCTGAACGAACGGACTGAGATTTCCTGACAACGTTCATCACGGCGGACATAAGCCTGCTGGATATACGCGATAATTCAGAGGTTATACTGTTCGCGAAATAATCGTTGGTCAGGTCCTTTATCATCGCTGTCGCGTTCTGCCGGCCCAACGTTCGATACGCCGTCATCAAAGTATCAGACATAATATGCTGCTCTACAGATTGGTCGATCTCCGCCATCATGGAGAAACCGATATCTCGGCATAGGTTCTGCAGATATTTGTCCACGACCCAATCGACACTGGCGCTCGTCAGACCAAATGCGACGCCTTCCACGGTGCTCATTACGACGCGCTTCGTGAATTCCTTTGTCAGCAAATGAGTCCCTTTGCGCGTCAACTCGTTGAACACCTGTTTACCCGACATCGTGGTGATTTCTGTACCGGCTGACGAGACGTTGGGTCCGACTACGCTGTTTGCGTAGGATGAGGTTTTGCTTGCGGACGAGAACATAGCTCCAAGGCCAAACGTCAAGCCGGTGATTGCCAGACTCATTACCTTATGATGCATATAGCTTTTCCAGCTGAAATAGCCGCTCCTAAAAGCTGATATTGCAAAGAATATATCGCTTATACCCTCGGATACCAAGGCACCGGCCATATACGTCATAGTGCCGGCCGAAAAAATTTCTATCACGTTACCAAGTATGATTTGCATTATGCCGAATACGACGACCGCAGCGGTCTTAAATATCATCTTCCAGCTCCACGGTTGTTCCTGAATTACCACAAGATCACCCAAACCGTTCGTCGCGAAGATGTGTAGCTCCTCGCTTGGGTAATCGCCACTGCTAAAAGATCCGCTCGTTTCGATATGCTTCAACAGAGGCATCATACTACAGTCCGGCACGTCCAAGGCCTTGAACGCGTTTTTCAAAGTTTCCAAGGTGTTGACAATATTCTTCATCGTGGTCTTCTTGCCAAAGAGATTGTGGACGTCTATGATGTTCTTAATAGTTTCCGTCGGCCCCTCGTAATTTGTCGGTTCGCGTGTGTATCTCAGAGTGTCACCATCGACGAACACTAAGATTTTCTCTCTCTCTCCCGCTGTTAAACTATAATAAGTATACATTAGGGTTGACGATGCCTTAGGCTGCCACATTCCTGCCAAAGTGTTCAGCGATTTGCCCGTATTTCCCATAGGATCTGTAAATTGGTTCTTGAGACTTTCAATTACGTTTTCCTCCATCGACTCCATCACGTCGATCCATCCTTTTTGAATGACATAATTAAATAATTCTGTATCCTTTTTCGTCCGCGGTACCAGATTATTTTTATAGAACATTTGCATAAAAACATCCTTCCCACGTATCATGCGGTCGTACATATTCTGCAATTTGCTCTCCAAATTATCATTATTGCTGGATACCTTGGCGAGTTTGACGATTTTCTCTTCCATCAACGAACAAATGACCGATTGGTGCGGTTTGGTCATTAGCTGTAGATTAACGGGTACCGCTTCGTCCTGAAAATTTTGTACCAATTTCTGCAACGCTATTCTGTAGATGAAGCAAACGTTCAACAGTTGTATCACGAAGCTTTCGTAGATTGGGCAGGAAGGTAGTTGAAGATTCGCGATCTGGTCGTACGGGACGACCAATCGATAAATGCCCTTTTCTCCATCCGATAAGACTTTTTGTTTGACTAAATCTGTTAGAATCCGTTTCGCATCTTCCTCCGAGATATCTCGTTCGGTCAAATCCTTCACGGTTATAGAGTCAAAGTACGGAAAGATCACGTTCTCCACTTTCCTCGCATCATAGGTCGCTTTCTTGTTATAAGTGAAAACGTTCCTGCGTTTCAGTATCTTATATTTGTCATCACTAATGAATTTTTTGAAAAACTTTTTCTCCAATGTGATATCTTCGTCCTTGTCCTGGTTGTCCTGTTCCACGGCGCCGGTTGTGTGGAGAAGCAGCTGTTCTTTATTGCATTTCAAAGTGTGCTTTTCCAATTGCTTCTGCTCGATTATATTGTCCAGTGATTTCAAGAAAGACGGATCAATGTTCCGGAGCTTCTTTACGACAATCTTCATGTACTTCACCTCATCCTTCAATATCTTCTTCTTCACTAGTAATTTCCAAAAATCCTCTTTGTTGGGCATTCTCACCGACTTCTTCAAATCCTTCTCAAATTGTTGTGACTCAATAGAGAAGCCACGTTTCTTCATGAGAAAATCGTTCAACTCCTTCGGAATTACTCCGTGATGCTCGCAGATCTTCTTCACGATACCTTCCTCAATATTCTTTGATACTCTCGGCTTTCTTAAAATATCATTTTTAATCAAGTCGAGGTACAAAGTCTCAGCTAACTCCTCGTTGATATCGTATTTCTCGAGATTTTGCGACGTCACGTTGTGACCAAACATATCGTCAATAGATTGCAAGAAGATCTGGTATATGGTGCTGATGTTCTTATGTTGCTCCTTGAAAGCGTCGATCTGCATGATACCAGGATTCCGTTGCTTCAGCGCGTCGATGATATTTCCAGCCATTATCGCATAATCGCGATGTTTCTCCAAGAGTTTCGCCGACTTGCGCAATTCTTTTTTGAGTTCCTTCAAAGCACCTCGGTCTTTCTTGTCAATCTTCTTGATCAACGAGAAAGCTTTGTAGTAATGCGCGCTTTCTGAGAAATTGGGCTCTTCTTTGATAACGCGATCAAATAGTTCGATTGCCGTGTCCTGCTGCTTATTTCGTGCGAAATATTTGGCAAGCCTGATGATTTGGGTGGGTTCGCGAGTCCACTGCACCCAGTCTTTGCTCTCTTTCGATTTCAATACACGCAAGCGATCGATCAATTTGCTGAGGGATGCTTTATATTTATCCGTGTCCTGTTCTCCCAACATGCCGTTTATATACTTGCTGTTCTCATCCAACCAGAAAGCCCACTCGTCCAGGCAGCTACGCAACAGTACTTCTTTCACTTCATCACAGACCTCGTCCTTCAGGTTCTTCCCTAGCTGCTGGTACACCTCCTTAAATTGGTGAAAAGCATCCTCCTCTACGCTTATCCGCGTCTCATAGTATAGCTTGATGTCTGAGATACGACGAATCTCCTCAAAGTCCCGTTCTTTTTTCAGGTGCGACGTTTGCGAGATACTTTGCGTGTCCCGCGAGCCCAGGATAATCAATCTACCGGAACCATTGTTGCCGCACCGAGCTGCACGGCCGAAAGCTTGCTGTTCTACTCGATTGTTGTTCGGTAGATACGTGAGACAAACATGTAGACCGCCTGCCTTGTCCAACTGCTCGGTGATCTTGATGTCGGTGCCGCGACCGGCCAAATTGGTCGCGATGATAATTTGACCTTCACGTAGATGCTCAGCGGTCACGTCGAAGGATTCGTAATCGCGCGTGTATGTGTGTAAGTTGGTCATGTTCTTGGCGCCTATCATGCTATACAAAGACTCCACGTCGTGTACGGTCTCGCAAATTATCAGCACTGATCGGCCTGCTTTCGTGTAAATATCGGCTTCCGAGTGTATCTGTTGACACCATTCCTGTAGGTTAGAACAGGCGACCGGATTACACTCCTTGAATTTCCTCATCTTCGTGGTCGGCACCGTGACGAAGTCCACCTGGTAGATCTTCCGCAGCAGATCTCGCTCTCGATGGGAACCCAATGTGCCAGTCAGGCCATATAGATTGCCATAAAGCTTCAGATAATATACGTTTGACACGAACACAGCCTTCAGACTCTGCATCGACAGCTTGCAGCCATGTTTCAGTTGTAAAAACTGATGCAACGCTTCATCCCATTGCGAGTTTGTCTGGTCTGTACCCGTGTCACGGTCGATGATAGTGATGTTGGCCTTAAGATCCGGCCTACTGCCTTTCCTGTCAACATCCACTATATAGTCTTGCCGTTCCTGCATAAATAACGCCGTTTTAGCGCTGTTGATCCAGGCGTCTAAGTGCAGAATTATAAACGGTTTCAAATAATTAGGAACAACGACGGATTTCTCGCGCTTGGAAATTTGCTCGAACAGAAATACCAGATATCGCTCGTAACTCTCGAAGTCGGGTGACAATACTTTCAAGATGTCTTTTTCGCTCACATTGTCCTTTAGTAGGTAACCGTTGTTATCGATTATATTGTGTTTGATCAAACGTTCCCATATTGTATTTACTTGTTGGCCACTTATATGCGCGTCCATCTTCTTAATATCCTTCTTCGACAACGAGCCGTACATATTACGTAAGACCGCCTGTCTGATCGCTTTGCTGTCAAAGATCTGTAGAAACTCCTCTTGGCTCGTGAAAGACCTGTTAATTAACTGCCAGATGTACACGTAAACAGACTCCAGCTTGTCCAGGCACGGTAAGTCGTGGGATAAATACAGCATGTTGTTACCCTTGTCGAGCAGCATACTGTCCACTTCGTCTATGATGACGTTTTCAAAGCTGCGGTCGCCTAAAATGTTCTTACCATAGAATCGATCCAGTAGATAGTCGCGTTGGAAACCGGAGAGCTCTCCGTAAATTACATTTTTACAAGAGTACATCTCCTTCCGTTTCTCGACGTCATTGTCGCAATTGTGCGACACGCTGACGGAGAAGAAGTCGTAAATATCATTGTTGATTTCGCTATCACGTTTCGCCAGAACCGATGAGCTGGTAATGATGTCGACCTTTTGACCACAGAGTGCCTTCAAGATAGATAATGCTACGACGATAAGCGATTTACCTTCCCCTGTGGATACCTGCATCAGTGTGCTGCATTTATTCCTGAATAATGCAAGTATAGCGAGTTTTTGCGTGTCGCGGAGCCTAAAATTTCTCTTCAGATTTATGGTGTTGTCTATCAGACCGAGCAACTCAGCCACGTAATTGTATATATATTGCAATTTATCATTCTCTTTTTCGTAAAGCTGTATGTTGGATTTATGTTTAGCGATCTCTTCTTTGATCGCTTCTTCGCTGGTTCCCGTCACTTGCTTCATGGCTTGTATGGTATCTCTGATTGCATTTAAATCGTTCAGAATATGTTCGGAAGTGTTGCCGTTGCCACTGATCAAATCTATCAATTTGTTCACGGTGCGATCTTCCCCGTTAGTAGGAAATATCGCTTTCATCAAGATTATCCATTCGTTGATCTGGCATTCGTTGAGTGTGATGAGAATGTCTTTGGAGAAATTCCATTCTCCGTTGTGAAAACTTGTCAGAATCTGAAGAAAATCATCAGTAGTTATCGAGCCAGTTTTCTTTTGAAAAAAAGACGACAACGCGCGTGTCAAACTTGTGCTCTTATTCGACTGCAGCGTGACACCTTTTTTTATAAGAAGATCCATGAATTCGTCCACGAGAGAAGTGCCGGCGCTATTCTCCAAAGATAGCAGGTAATAAGAGGCTCTCTGTAATTCTTCGTCCTCCCATTCAGTTAACGTGGACAGTTTGGTCGTCCAATATTTTTCCTTGATCGCGTACGGCCACTCGGATAATTCCAACTCATTGAGTCCAGGCACACGGTCTGAAATATTACTCAGCAAGTACAAGATGTTTCTTATACATTCCGTCGAGAAGGCCTTGTTCAATTTGCTCTGCTCCAATTTGGAGTTCAATAGTAACAGAGTTTCTTTCTCATGAATATTTGCCAAGTACCGCCTCCATTCGTGTATCTCGTCCAACAACATTTGAAAGTGATTCTCGAGCTTCAACAGTATAATTTCGTTTAACCATTGTTGCTGAGGATACGCCCTGATTATCCAGCTAAATATATTTAGGCCAGGACGATCCTCGATAACGAAATTCAGTACTGCGTTCACCAAGCAATACAGTTCGTTGTAGGTAATGTGTCTTCCATTGCATGAGAAAACTTTAGCTATAGCGTGAATGATCTCACGTTGTCCAATGTACTTAGATGATATTTTGTCCAGCATGAATCGTAGCTTCTGTTTCTCGTCCGAGGAGGAAAAGTGTCGTATTATATCGTACATATCCAGCTTCTCGTCGATTTCGATTTCGGTAGTGGAAATCACGCTGTTATACTCTTTACTTCCAGGAAGGAACAATCCTTTTTTCATGTACTCATTGATATCGGTATGACGTTTCATCGACTCCAACTTTGCGATGATTTTCGCGCACAGGTTAGCTCTGCCGTCACGTTCCATGTTTAGTCGAAGGAAGTTCTGATTGATATCCAGCAGAATATAGTTCTTGTCAGTGTACAAGAGATATATAACATCTGTAGATTGCGGATTGTGTACGTCCAACAAACAGATTTGGTTGTTTCGATCCGTGATGTACATGCAGATATTAATATTGAATATATACGCTAACAATTCTCGGTAACTCGGTGACAACGGCCCATGTAGCTGTATGTGTCGTACGTATTCCTTGAGTATTTTCGGGTCCTTCATACATTCCTTCCAGACAAAACGTTCATTAAACATCTTACTAAATCGTCGGTAAATCTCCTTCAACTGTTTGTCCTTTTTCGCATCCTCCTTCAACTTGTTTTCCACATTTGTGTTATTTAAACTTCGGAAGAACTGACCTACCACTTCTTTACAAGAGCCTACATCGAGCTTCGATTCTTTGTAAAATTTCTTCAATTTCATTTCTTGCTCGCCGACGAACTTGCTGTATTCTTCGTAATATTTCTTCACATTTCCGTGCGCCTCTTCTTCTTTACCCTCGTCCATTACAAAAGACGCAATGGAGAATTTGAAAACGTCGTGATACTTGCTCACGTTTTCTGCTGTGCAAAATTTTGAAATCATCTTGCGCTGCGCCTCATTATCCTCAAAAAAGTACTGTTGCAAATTGCCCAACTCTTTGTGCAGACCTAGATTAATATGCGGATTATTTTTGATTTTTCGAAAATACTTTATCGCATTCTTTGGTGTTAATTCAAATTTGTTATTAGCAATGCATTGATATCCGGCTACCTGTAATGCAATTTGTTGTAGAACAGCTAAACGATACTTTTCAATTAAGAGTTGTTCAATATTTTTCAACTGCAATTCCACTTGAATATCATATGCACTATCGTTCGTGTTTTCTCTCCTCTTTTTTGCGTGTTTGTCTTTCAATCGTTCGTAAAGCTCATACAAATAATTGAAGTGAGTATAATCAAGTTGTTCATTTTTTAATTCAAACCACTCATTTAATGGTGCTTGGCGTAAATCTTTTAGCAATTCTTCCAAAGACTTCTCACGTGCTTGTTGAGGCTCAGTGTGGCAGATCGGAGAAATTGTGTTAAATACTCTTGTATTTTGTTGCGCAGATGGTTTTGCACGCGTAACAGTTACCTTCGATATTTCCTTCATCTGTTGCTCTTTGTTCTCCATCATTATCCCGAAAGCATGTTCCTCAGCATATCGCATGCACGTCTGGATATCCTGATATAAACCGATGTGTGTCTCGACCATATGTTGAGAGTACTGCATGAAGATATGATTCTGCGAAATATTCTTTTTTCTCTCAGCTTGAGTTTGACGCTCCGAGCGTGTTGAAGTATCTTTCTCTGTGAATGTCGTGCTTGCAGGTTTCGGGATACTGGTCTCTGATATTTGTACGTAGGTATAATTAGAATTCGTAGCACGATAAGGAACGTATATCCGATCCGAAGCACTGCCGTCATAAAAACTCAAATTGAGTTTCCTGTTCTGATTTGTACCGTAATATATCCCGTCGCTCCAGAATGCCCAGTCAATGAAAGACATGTCCCAGCCATTTTCTCCATGAGTGCCACATTTACCTTCTTTGCCATTCTCGCCATTCTTGCCCGAATTGGAAGCTACGACAATACTTTTGTCGCTACTAATTACATCACCAGGGTATCCTCCTTGCCCACCTAAACCAGTCGCACCCCCACGTCCTCCGGGACGACCTGCAGAGCCTTTACATAACACGAAAGTTTGGCCGCCGTACGAGGAAGAAAAGTAAATTTCTTGACCGTCTTCGGTTACAGCTTCTACGAATGCGTCAGATCTTTGTCTATGTTTTATTACATCTTCTACTGAACAATTGTTACCATTTAACCAAGATACTCTTATTTGTCCCAAGGAACGAATATTACGTACTATCGTTCTCAAATTGTCCACCGAGCTACTACCAACAAATTTTCCGCAGGTTGGGAATTTACTATTGAAATCCGCATGAGAAATACCTGTTCCATTTCTTCCATTCTTACCGTCACCGCCGCTTTGACCGTCGCTACCATTTCCACCGTTGGACCAAATCTCTAGCATCTGCGAATGTAACACGTTATCTGCATGAACAAAAACATTTCCTCCGCTTTCTCCACATTTTCCATGTTCTCCATCTGCACCCACACCGTCGTCGTCGGTTTTCGCTTTGGTAATTGTTGTAGCGTCTGCGGACTTTCCAGAAATATCCCATTTACATTTGTCGCAAATTACAATCGCTTTAGCATAGACTACGATGTTTTTTCCATGCCACATGCTATTTTCCAGATTTTCATTGACATACATAATGCCAGAGCATATGAAACGAACTTCTTCTATATTAGAATCATGTAACAAAAGGGAATTTACATCATTGATGATATCACTTAGGTAAAAATTTCCACCTATTATTTCAATAACGACTCGGTTATCAATTGTCAACTTTTCTATTTTTACCGGTTTAAAGTATGCTCCGATAATTTCTTGATATTTATTCATTAAGGCAATATGTTTTTGCCCTATTAATGACTGCGTTGCGTATTGCAATTGCTTAAGCTTTACATCAGAATCAACGATATCAAGGTCCATAATTATTTGAAAAAATTTATCGCTCGATATATCAGGTTCATACAAGTGTTGTAACTTCATCATATCCGGATATTTGTCGCATTTTTCAAACATAACTAAAAATTCAAGCAATGCCTTGAGAAAGTCAATCTCCTTAGTTACAGTGTTACTGTGTGCCATTGAGAGTTCCAGGCATTTTTCTTTAAAATGTCTCATCAAAGTTTCTTCTTTGTATTGTTCAATAAGATCTTTGTGTTCCATTAAAAGTTTGTAATAATTCAACTCACAAAACGGAAGCGGGATTTCAACAAAATGTCTGATGTTGTTCAAAGCAATAAGTTGCTCTATTAAATGACCGTCAGTTGAATGTTCATTTAGAAAACTATCGATCTCCTCTACCCAGTACTCCAAGCAATACTTGACATATTTATCCTCTATGTAAGCACGATCGACAGTATTCAGCTGGACGTTATGTTCTTTCTCAATGATATTCTGTATCTGCTCCAAGTGATATCCATATTTCCTTAGATTTGTCCGTATTAAATCTGGTATATCTGTTACCTTCATTGTAACTTCTTTTGCAATCTTGCTATACGTATAATATCTTGGTATATAGTAAATCTTAACTTTTATTCTTAGTAATTTTATATGATGAAACGTGATATTTGGATATCTTATGCCCCTAAATTGCTAGCTATTGAATTTGGCAATATCTAGAAAAAGGGAAAATTAAACGTGCTATAACATCCATTAACCTATTTTTTTGTACATTATGAATTATAGAATATCATTTTTGTTAAAGAAAATTTTTATAAGAAAAAGTCGAGACATTATCGAATGCAGGTTGAGTAGATTGCATGATTACCTACTGCTGTTTTATCACTTATCCAGACGTATCAGATAACATTTGCTGACGCATCCATTGAAATTATGGAGAGTAGTGTTCCAATACTCCTTTCTGCATTGCTTAGCAACACCTTATCTATTCCTACGGAATCACACATATACTTAGCAAGCATGACGCATACTACTGACACTTAACGCTATCGTTTATATTCCACCAAATAAACTACTACAAACGAAGAGCAGACCGATGGCGTTCGTCGGCATCTGATACGCGATTAACTCCTTTGCATGAGACGTCACGTACACCACGAATCTGCGAGTGCTGGTCAAGGTCGTCTGATGAATTGTCATATACGGTTCAATATGTTTAGTATGTTCGATATTTGATAATGTGAAAATGATATCAAATATCATGTTCGCGGACCCATGTAACTGATTTTAATCAACCAAATTTATTCTTAGGAATAAAAAGTGTGGCGATAATATTTCTAAATTAAATCGTGCGAACGCGACAAAACGGTGCAACAGAAATTATTTTATTTTACATTTAAATATGTTCGGTAAATCAAAAGATCACAGCGCAGACCACTCGCAGCTCAACTTAAACTTCCTGCATTTAAAATGTTAAATACTGACACATGCTTTCATAATATTAACCATGATACATTTAATATCAATTTATAATGTGTATAAGTGTCATAATTGATATCATAATTATGGCTTCTCATAAGAGATGAAATATTTATCGAATTGACATTAACGATTTGACATTTAGAATATGCGCGACATAGAAAAACATGTTTATAAAATAGATATAAAGAACAAAATTCTTACATACTACTTATTGTTCTTTAGAAATATAAAAAGAAATATCTTTATAAGATATCAAAAATTTGATATTCCGATGACATAAAAAATAAAATTCTCACGGAGAAATTAATTCATTTTTCCAATTTAAAAGAACTTAATCTTGTATGAAAGAGAAAATTTTACACATTGAGATAAATCGGCACTTTATAATCAAACTTTTCTAAAATTTTAAAGACTTTAAATTTACACAAAAAAACTTATGAGTCTTACCTAATATTATGTGCAGTTGGTCTTAATATTTTGTTCAGTCTTCTAAGCTTAATTATATTTGTTGAAGATAACAGGATTCAGTACAAACTTCGAGAGTTATTCGCACGTCAGTCTGCGGCGGACTGAACGGAGCGAACACTGGCTTCTGCTTTTTACTGTTTAGTCTTGCGGATTTCCTGACGCCTGGTCGTCCATTCATCGTGCCACTATCAATAAACTCTTGCCTCTTTCATTCGTGCGAATCTTAAACGGATCTCGTCCAATTAAAACTAATCGTAAAACACTGAAATGTTTAATTCTGTTGAATTATATGATCACGACCTTGGGAAATTTTTACGTAAGTTACCGTTTTTCATTTTTTATTTTTAACCGAACATATATTGTTATGCAGAGGATAGTAGAAATTTTTCTTACTCTGTTCTTCACTTCTATTTTCATATGTATTTTATCCATTAATCTCATTCTTTTCTCTATGTTTTCGAAAATTTATAGTTTCTGAAAAAATAATTCTGTTGTATAAAAATTTTTCAATTTTGTCAATAGCTATATGTCAAACATATTTCTCAATTAGATCTCTCAAATATCCTATATATTTTTCAAAATTTTCGTGAAAATACATAGCTACCTACATAGCATGAAGGTCACAATGATCACAAGGAAGTCATATTAAAATCATAGAGATGTACGAAATCGAATGTGTTTTGTCATAAATGTTGTGTCTTTATGACATCATCCCTATGACACTCGTGTAACATTAGCCTCGCAGAGACATCGTTGCATCGTGCATATGCACACACACGCGTTTTTGAACAAATTCTAAAACGATTTTCTCTCTTACAAAATGTTATACGAAGCTTAATTTTTTACTTATACAGGTAAATAGTTTACCTATTACCAGTCGGTAGGTATAAGAAGTAGGTAGGGATAGTACAACTCACTGTCAGATGTTGACTGTGATACGATGACTTTATCAATGATGATACATAGTACACATTTTCATAACTTCCATTGATATATCGTATCGCGTATCACGAAGGGACTCTGCGAAGCTGATATGCATTCCTTCTACGCAAACGCGTATCATTGCACAGCGAAAAGCGATAATTTATGGCGAAGTTATTTGGCATGAATGGATTAATATGATAGCTAAGTAGCAAGGATTAATGAAATTTTAATAGCGAATAAAGTTGAATTGTAGTAGCGAATAATTTTAAATTAGTAGGGTACGATTATACGTAACGTTTGAGGACAAAATATTTGATTACACGAATTATTATTCTCAGACTGAAAAATAAACTTTTGGGAATAAAAACTGAAATGAATAAAATGGAGAAGAAAGATGGAGTGATAATCATGCTTTAAAAAACATAAGATATCTTATTCCTTTTTAAAGATTATTTATTTTGAGAATGATAGCTTTCACAACTTGTTAGCGTCCATTCCTTTCCGTGATATATTAAGTCAATTACTTTAATTGAAATAAATATTTGTTCATAATTCCGAAAACATTTATTTTTCGACCTATGTTTATTAATACTTTTTTCCTCCATTTTGTGACTATCTACTCTTGAAGTCTCAAATTTTCTTTTTTAAATATCCTGCAATATATGTAGGTTGTTTGGTAAGTTTCGAACATAAGGATGTTGGTCGGAAACTGTTGTAAGGTATGAAAGTACTTCTTAATCTTACATCTTTTTAATAACTGCTCTCAAATGTTCAACCATATGTGACGCTTAATTTTGTTTTGACGGTCAGTTGTAATATGCATGTCAATATATTTATTTAACAATGAAAGAAATCGAATATCGTTCCGTGATCAAATACATGAATTTAAAAAGGAAAATCCAGTAGTCAAAACTGAGTTGGATTCTGTTTACGGTGATTTTGCTTTTTTGTCTTCAACAATGAAAATTTGGATTGCCGAGTCTAAACGTAGCCATATAAGTGTGTTTGATCATGAGTTCAAAAACGCCCGACTTTTTTGGAAAACGACAGAAACTTATTCAAACACCTGATACATAAACTAACTAAAAAATAAAATTGATCACATTAAGTATTTTACACATATATTTTAAGATAGCACAAACACATATAAAAAATTACATTCATATAAATTTAATAGAAAATACGACATATATACAGGGTATCCCATTTTAAAGGATCCACTCAAATATCTCAGAAATATTGCGTTAAATCGAAAAATGTTTCAGACAAAAATTGTATCGTTTAAAGGGGGACATAAAACAACTATATCAGTTTGTTTACGCCACAGATGACGCCACTTTCGAGATATTCATTGATTATTACTTTTCTTAAATGGAAATCACACTTTTTAATTATCTTTTCCTACCAATCTTTTTCTACCAATTAATTTTCATAACTTCTGAAACATATTTTTATTTGCCTAATATTTTTGAAATATTTAAGAAAAATTTGGTAACTTTCCAGTATTTAACTCGCTAACTTTTTCATGGAAAAAGAATAGCACTAGACTTTTTTACTCTTTTTGATCTCAATAATATATTATTACAACAATGCCCTAACTTTTATTAACTTACCGATTTTGGAAATACTTCAATATAATATCCCTTCACTTCATTTAGAAATGATTTCTAATTCAAACAATTCCTTTCTCTATGAATAAATAAATCAAGACGCTTAGTAAAATGATGTGACGAATTTTTTACCTCTCATGCTTGAATAGTCAAAACTCTCTGTATCGTATCGCGCGAGAACTTCTTCATAGTATGACGGTTCTGTGAACATCTCCAAGATAGAAACTTGCTGGTCATCAGGGATCATTTTTTCAGCAAGACTTGTCACATCAATATTATTACTATTTCGATGTGGAAGGAAATCGTTGCCCTCTTTATTTATCAATATATGTCCGTGTGCTTTCAATGGCAAATTGCCGCGTCCAGTTATACTATAACCGACATGAGGAACCTTCGGTCCATGTACTACACTAATGCAAGGATTGTCGATATTAATCTTCAACTTAATTGTTTCCGTTTGTTTCTCTGTCCCGGGTACGAGCACTTTCAACTCTGCTTCTATTTGGACTGGGAAAAAACCTATCTCACCCTCGTACGGGGCATTAACATATATCATGTCGTACAGAGTGGGTTTGAAATCCTCCAGTCTGAGATTAATGGGTCTCTTTTTCACGTCCTTGTATTGCCTGACAAATTCGCAACATTTTTGAAATGCTGCATTTAGAGCTTTCGTACGTTGCTCCTGTAACTCCTCCTTGCTCAATATTTTATTTATAGTGAAATCCACGTCGTACTTACTGTTCTGTGTCCAATTTTTCATGTCTTCTTTGTCTTTTGCCATGAATCTCTCTCTTGGGACGTTTCGGCTTCTAGCTTTTTTACCACCGAATAGTCCGATCCTTAATCTGTATTGATGCCCTCCGTACGACAAACGGTCTCGTATACCGGGGCTAGTTTCGATTTCTTTTGCTACCTCTTCCCTGAACGTCTCCGCCGATATGCTATCTAGGCCAGGTATGTACTGGCAGAGCGTCTCATATAGGCAATTGTTGGAGCCGTCGCTCGCGCCACTGTTCGAGTTGTCATCCCGACTAAGCTGAAAGTGATCGTCCTTCAAGAAGATTCTAATCACTGTGCCCTGTTCACCGTCCGACATGGTCGAGATTCTCTCCGACAAGCCAGGTGCCCCATCTATGACGAAGGTTAATCCTTCGACATTGAACCCGTGATTCGCCAGCATACGCTGAAGAACTGGCAGACATGCAGCCATGCAGGTGGTATCAATTGGCACGTTCTCGCGCACAATGTCCGCGAGAAGCTTGGGATTGCGAGTCCTTATCAACAAGTTTTGCAGATTGCTGTGGTATTCTTTCTTGACCTGCATGTGCTCCTCTTCGGTCATGTCCCTGAGTTCCTGCATCTTTTCTTCGTATTCCTGTTTGTACTGTTGGAACTCGTCGGAGTAATTGCTCTCCTTATAATCACTATACATCGATTGTATCTGGCGGCCAGCATAGTACATTATCATCGTCGCGACAGTATTCATGACGGGCCTGACGATCTCTTCGTCAATCACCTGGCCAGCTCGCGCACGCAGTGTCGTCTTCCATAATGTTATAATATCGTACCTGTATCGGTCTATATCCGTGGCATCGTCGTCCGTCGAATTCTGTTTGTCTTGTCGGGTACTCGTCTTCATCTCACTCAACACGTTGATCTTCTTTTGAACACTCTTGTTCAACTCGTTCAGCATATTGTCCGTCATATTCCTCAGATCGTACAGAACAGTCGTTTTCTTCAAAATCGTGCTCGCCGGACCCATCAGTTCCAGCACTGTCTTCACATTAAACGAGCTGACGGACACTGAACGAGCGGACTGGGATTGCTTGACAAAGTTCAACATGGTGTACACCAGCCTACAACATATACGCGACAACTGAAAGGTGGTACCGCTTGCGAAATAATTCTTGGTCAAATCTTTTATCATCGCCGTCGCATTCTGTCGGCCCAACGTTCGATACGCCGTTATCAAAGTATCGGACATGATATGCTGCTCTACAGATTGGTTGATCTCAGTCATCATGGAGAAGCAGATGTCCCTGCACAGGTTCTGCAGATACTTGTCCACGACCCAATCGATACTTGAGCTAGTCAGACCAAATGCGACGCCTTCTACGGTGCTCATCGCGACGCGCTTCGTGAATTCTTTCGTCAGCAGATGGGACCCTTTGCGCGTCAGCTTGTTGAACACCTGCTTACCCGACATCATAGTCATTTCTGTACCGGTTGACGAGACGTTGGGTTCGACTATGCTGTTTGCGTAGGACGAGGTTTCGCTTGCGGACGAGGACATCGCTATAAGGCTGAACTTCAAACCGGTGATGGCCAGGCTCATTATCTTATGATGCATATAGCTTTTCCAGCTGAAATAGCCGCTCCTGAAAGATGAGATTGCAAAGAAGATATCACTCACACCCTCGGATATCATGGCGCTGGCCATACATGTCATGCCGGCCGAAAAGATTTCTATCACGTTACTAAGTATAATCTGCATTATGCCGAACACGACGACCGCAGCGGTCTTGAATATCATCTTCCAGGTCCA